TGAAAGCGGTTGAAGATAAACGTTGATGGGGTGGTAACCAAACTCTGGTAAAGTGGTCAAAGATAAACGTTGAGGGGATGGTAACCAACAAGTCCTTCTATATGTGGCAGCTATTTATCAGTCAATTGTAACGGACTTGTGCCGTGGCTCTAAACGTTGAGGGGATGGTAACCAACAAGTCCTTCTATATTTGGCGGCTATTTATCAGTCAATTGTAACGGACTTGTTGCCGTGGCTCGTCAGTCCAATGTCGCTAATATCTGCTATCCATCGCTGTTATAACGTTGTTTTCTGTGGACTCTTCGGTTTGCACTTGATAGGGGAGGGCGCCATTTATACATACTAAATGCAGTTTGATTGAATTTTTGGGCAACCATCAGTATCGTACCACCATTGTAAATGTCTCACACAACTCATGAGAATCTGACAGACAAGTAACAATGCATAATAGTAATAGTCTGCAATAAATCCAGCGTTTTTGCAGGATCGTTTGCTTATTGCATCGCCATCACATTGGTAAACCTGAATGGCTCTTTGACAAGCCATGCTATACTAACTGTTCACCTCGGCTGTGCTAGTTGACCCATACACGCACAGAAACCATTCCTAACCGGATGCCAGCGCACTATTCCGCTGTTTCCATCAACACTTGCGCAGCATCAAACTTTTCTCATGGCTTCATAGGCACGGTTTGATAACTCTTGGTCTCCAAATCGCATAAATTCCTTAGGTGGGATTTGGTTTTCTGATATTTCCACTTAAGAATCAAACAGATACGTGCCTCATTGATGACGTTTTCTTAACGGGAGCATCGTGGCAGCTTTGATTGCACGTCTCAGTGAAATTATCTAAATGAATCGATTGGAATCATGTCACTGGATTCCCAAGAGATGTGCAACCTTCCGAGTTTTACCTTCTTTGGTGAAGCTCAACTTGAAACCGAGTCGGTTTTCGATTTCTACGGAGATCCTCTAAGACTCCTATCGAAATCTGAGTTTTATCCGCACATATTGTGGAGACATCTGAACACGAAGAAATGCCAATGTCTTTTGTCAGTGTTAAGCGCTGGTACACGACGGCCCAATCCAATCACAGAAAACGTCTTCAGTGAGTGAAAATCGGTGGACCCAACATGAGATCGTCCCATGCTACTCGCATTTCTGTGTTTTATACAATAATTGGTGTCCGACTGTATGTATCCCGGCTTGCGTTAACATCCTCCTGCTATATGAATGTAATATTCGTTACAATGCATGGGCCGCCCACAAGTATACATGAGAGTACTTGGTGCCTTGTTGTGCATATAAGGATTTCGTTTGTGCAAGCTGTTGATTGGCAAATTTACCGGAGGATGTAAAAGTGTGAGATTAGTCAAGGTTGTACAGAGAGGTATAGAGGGATGTTCGATCTAGCAAAGTTCTATTGCATATTGCTAAGGTGCAACATGTGACTCGAGTGCATTTCGGGGTGCTGTGAATTAAGTGGAATTTTACTTCCCCATGCTTATCATGATCATCGACAGCATAACACCAGTGTTTAACACTGATGCTTCACTGCCGTACAACCGTGATTTATTTGAATTTCCTTGTAGTGGCTCCCAAACTCTATCGCGTCAGGCCGGAGTCCATTTGTATGGTAGACTCAGGTGTTGGCTCCATAATTGATTCAGACTTTCCTGTTCTAACGTGATCTAAGCGACAACGTATTATCCTCTCTTTGATACGGCTACAGTTTGTCGATGTTGCTCACTCACGCCCCCGTTCCTTATCCGAAGGCTGAAGTTTGACGTATTTGCCTCGTATTTTGCTAGGCTGGATGTGTTACCCCGAGTTTTGCTTCACTGAGCACTACCACTGTTTGACCTTAACTGTTGTTTTTCAAATCGGCTGAAATTCCACACTGGTGAATGCTGTGCAGTTGTCCGGAACAGGTATGTGAAGTACAATGTGCGATACAAAATTACCACGTAGAGTAGATATGGTAGATGCACTCGGTTCAATTTTAGTGGGCGCCGCTTCTAATATGCGTTGTGTGATACCTAAAAATAAGATTGGAGTTGTATACATACCTTCGCAAAGTGGACCTGTCTGGCCATATGTGTACAATACATCCATGTCCTTAACTGCGTGTTTTCTAAGTAACAAATGTTGGTTCCATAATAGGTTTTAGCGTAATCTAAGTAACAGTGTATTAGTCTTCCGTGGATAAGGATACATTTTGTTGATGTTAAACATCTACCCACCCATTCCTTATCTGTGGGCTGTAGTTTGACGTAAACATCCTCACCTCATCATTATGTACAAGGTCGAGCGTGTTTATCTGCGTTTTGCTTCACTGAGCACTGGCACTGTTTGACCTTTACCGTTGTTCTTCAAAACAGCTGAAATTCCGCTCTGGTGAATGCCACGTGTGAATTGCAGTGTGCGATACAAAACTGGTACGTAGAGTAGATGTGGTATATGCACTAGATGCGATTATAGTGGGCACCGCTTCTATCCATGCACTGGGATATGCATTGTGTGAGACCTGAAAATGTGATCGGGATTGTATACGTACCTTTACAAAGCGAACCTGTTTGGCCATATGTACACAATTGATCCGCGTCCATATTTACGCTGTTTCTAAGTGACATTTGAGGTATATATCCCGTATTGTCAATAAGAGAATATAAGTGGGCGGGGTTTGAAATTTGGCTGGCGTATCGCGATCATTCTGAGATATATACAACTCACGATACTCATTCAGGCATTCTGGACATAAAATGACAACAATAACAACATGGACATTGATTTTCAGGTACGTCTTGCGATCCTACACGCGAGCTCAGTTGGGATCACTTGGTCTCCATACTGGAATTTGAATTTCAACGATCACATGCAGACTGTTGGTCATGTCTTTATTCTTGACTATTTCGTTTTTTTTTCGCTAGGATATCTTCAGGCGTTTGTGGTGCCTTCTAATAGGCAGTTTATGACACAAAACATAACCTCGGACCACTCACAACTTTCCACTCACAATATTCTTCAGTCATTTTCTTCCACAGTTTCTCAAAACAGAGCCATGTTTCTCTCTCCCGCGAAATTAGAAGCGCAGTTTGTTGATGCCCAGATTATATCAAACATCGATCCCAGTAAGAAATAGCTTGAGAATAAAAACAAACTGGGCGTTCCTCCTAATACACCCGCGATTTTTTAAATTAATTTTCCATGCTACTCAACCCCATCCACTCGAAGGTTTTCATACCATTGAGTTTTTGCTCACCAACTGGACCCCAGATTCGTCGTAATGTAATGAAAAATGTTGCCTTCTCACATACCAATCCTTAGCACCAAATGTGCAGTCTACGGTTGAGCTGTTGGTAATTTTTGATTAGTGAATTCACTAGGGCTACCGTCTGACTGACACTCGTCAGGGAAACTCGGTTTATTTGCTCATTATACAGTCTGTGCTTCGAGTCCACTTTAAACAACCTTGTGACTTTCTCTAAAAATCCCCTGTTCAGCCCAAATTTCATCGATGAATGCCATCCTGGTATAAGAGCAACTGAAGGATCATAATCACTATATCTCTCACTGTTCCATGAACAATATCTTGCATTCCATTATAAATGCTTGCTTTGTACCATTACTTGTAAGTTCCACTGTGTTTCCATTTCCAGTGCTATCTCACTTTCAAGTGTGATGAAATCGCCCCTCTTCTGTTTTGTTTCTTGTTATTTAGGGATTTTTCAAAACAAACGTGTCGTTTTTCCTTCTAACGCTTCTGCAAATATTTGTACTTGAAGCTCTCGCCTACATGAATCTACGCTTCTTTGGGGTCAGTTGGTTTCGGATCGTTCTCTCAGTTATCTTATACACCGTGTCCCAAGTAAGCTTTCATTAGGCATGTTCAATAGTTTGCGACCAAATACATTTAACCGTTTATTCTATTATCTCTCCATTTGGTACTTAGACTGAAGAAGGCTGCTACAAGCAAACATCTTTTTCCTTTTTTATCGGCAACCACTTTTTCTGAATGAAATGATATTTGAATTAACCGAGAACTCATCTTTCTTATCTGTTCCTGAAGTCATCCCAGTACTGTTCTTGTGTCGTAATTTCGTGGGAGTAGCCTGTGTGAACTTCGTCCTTACATCACTTCACTTGGAAAATAGCCTGAAGTGTGCGTGCTTGTCGCTCGTTGATTTAATTGGTCGCGCATTTACTATTTATCTGCTAGGATTTACACGCAATAAATTTTATCTCTCATCTTCCTGTGTGGTTTTTGCTGCTTGCAGTCTCAAGCCACTTGGCTTCAGCACGACTTTGGACACTTTTCAGTGTTCAAAACTACAAAGATGAATCACTTGTTTCATGAAATTGTCCTCGGTCTGACAAAGGGCTCTTCATGTCACTGGTGGAACTATGCACATTCACAGCATCACGCGAAGCCCAACGTGGTAAGTTATTTCAGCAACCACTGCTCGTGCTGAGTTCTCTTATAGTTTTGAGCATGCTACCTCATGCGGAGTACTGAGTATCCGGTTTTTCCCGAAACACATTGAGACCGTCCTATCACGTATTTCTTCATAGCGATCGTACCCCAAAAGTGTTCTCGTTCAGGTTTTCCGATTGGGTTCCAGTTGGATCCTCCGAAGAGTAAGCTCCTACTTTTCAGTTAGAAACAGCAAGGAAGCTCGCTGTGACTACCAGTTACCTATTCCTCTTACAAAAATATGATGTAAACGTACATTTTGTATGTAGGTCTTCTGCTGATCAGGGTTACGACGCTCACCACCGCTTCCCACCGAAGATCTTTTTAGTGTCCCCTCAGCAATCGCTCTGATAGTTCGCGGTACCACATACTTTACTTTGAATTTGTTATTTCAAAATACTTTATCGAGGGCCCATCCTTCCTTACGGAGTGCCCTTTCTATTGCTAAGGAAGCTATCATTAAACACGATTTGCTATTCCCAATGAAACCAAAGCCCTAAAAGACTGTGAATACCCGTTCAAACCCTGCTGAGGGAAATCCTGTGCTGATCACCCACCAATGTCAAGCGGGGCCGACCAAATTAGAAGTGAGTTTTGTTGTCAGGTTTCAGTGGAATGTGATAACCAATGGCTTGAAAATCAACATAATTGCTCAACTTTGTCGACCTTTTCGAGCTCTAAACCACGTCATTAATTTTGAAATACACGCAAACGTAATTTCGAGCAGTGATGATAAAGTAGCTTGACATTTCAGCACAGATTGGAGTTATGCGAGGGAACCCTTCTAAGTAGCCGCATCTATGTTGCTTAGTCCACAGCTCAAATGAAGAGATCCTCGGTCGTGTTCAGATTTGAGCTTCGGACAGCCCGCTTTCTAGGCCTCTTCGCCCTCACACTATCTATCACGCATAAACTAACGAAGATTTTCCAGCTTGTGTAGTGTGCGTGTGCACTGTTTCAATGGCCGAGTAACCCGTTAAGAGGCACAAATCAATGACTAGCCTGTAGCCTGTTGGTTGCAGCGCAACTTCATGTGTTGGTATCGGTACAGTGAAAGTCATATTAACATTCACTGCTGTATTCTTGAAAAGCTATCTCATTTCAAGTGAGTGTAGAGAAATCGGTCACATAATCCCGTAGTTGACATTTCCAGGCTGCTCGCCAAAGCCATGTACTTACTGGCCTGATATGGTCTATTGTCGTTTATAAACACCTGGGAAAGTCTGGTCATGTTTTTTTGCTATTCCAGTATTATGAAAACAACATGAGTTGTAGGTATGCACTTATCCAGAGTGGTTGGTTTTACAGCCGCGAACTAGTTAGAGGCGAGATTTTCACAACGTTTCCGGCAAGTAAGTGGAGTGACTACCAGTGTTTATAATCGGGGCGAGAAATCCCGCTGGAATGATGGAGGATGGCTTTCAAAATCCAGGCTGCTCGCCAAAGCCATGTACTTACTGGCCTGATATGGTCTATTGTCGTTTATAAACACCTGGGAAAGTCTGGTCATGCTTTTTGCTATTCCGGTATTATGAAAACAACATGCGTTGTAGGTATGCACTTATCCAGAGTGGTTGGTTTTACAGCCGCGAACTAGTTAGAGGCGAGATTTTCACAACGTTTCCGGCAAGTAAGTGGAGTGACTACCAGTGTTTATAATCGGGGCGAGAAATCCCGCTGGACTGATGGAGGATGGCTTTCAAAATCACTGTCCTTTCTGTTAATATATACGTAACTTGGTTTGGATCTTAGTCCCTACCGAGCCGCAGGCAATGTTCTTAAGAAAAACACCAAAGGCTTCAAAGGATAAAACTATACGCGGCAAATTTAATGCGTATCACACCCTGGGTCAGGAGCTGCGCTGAAGAAGTCTGATGGTCAATACCTTGAGAGAATAACCGGTATTGCCTCCATGAATATTGACAAGGAATGAAAGGGAGACCTTGTCGCATGGACTAAACTTTGCAGACTACACTGCAATTATGTGATTTGTCGAAAGAGGGACGATTGTGTAGTGCTTATGAGGACAACGCACTGAAGTACTTGTCTCATCAGTCGGGACGACAGGATGTCACCCATCACCTTTAGATCTACCAGAAACGAAGGAGTACTGGGCATATTAGACGGCACCATAAAACAAAACTAAATGCTTAAGACGGCTGAGTAGACATTAGCTTTGCTCTCCATGTCTGGTCATGCAACAGCTTTGTCCTCAGGTGAAAAACACACGGAAGCGGGTCGTTTTTCCATTCATTGCCGGTACGCCCCGGTTTTGCCTTAACTCGTAGCATAGCTCCTATGACACGCCTTACGTGACACGAACGTTTTCTTTGACTGCTGCATCACCTCAAGAACTCGAGAAAGAGCAGTAAAACCAACGCCGCATACAGCAAGTGTAGAAAAATTGGTTGCAAGTCGCGTACAGCCACGTGCTGTTTTCCTTGTGTGTGTATATATCAGATTCAACACCACGAATCGTCTTCATATGTAGGTAAACAACTAGAAGCTCATTCAGCCAGAATTGAAATCAGCGTTGATTACGAGGCTGCACAAGAAGGAGCAAATTGCTTTCGACCATCGGCAGTGAGTAGCGAGTTGATGAGCAGTCTTGTGAAGGCGCTTATTGTCAGAATGGCACCACGCATACTTTCCATTTTGACCCAAGTGCTCAAGTTTCTCCTGAATTTCGCAAAACCACGTTGGAGTAATCGTGAACAACTAGTCAGGATCAGATTTACCTGTGCGACTGCAAGGTTTTTCATATGGAGCGGGAAATGTTTCGTTTTTCAATATGAGAACACTGGAAGACGTGAACCATCAGTACGGCGTGTCCGTGACTTCAAAACTGCCCTTACCCCGTTCGCCCCCGGGTTCACGCCGGGTAGAGAGAGCTTTCCAATTGGTTACACGCGCAGCTCAGCGCGAACCACAGGGGCACTATCTGCTGTGTACAGTTGTCGGTCGGTCTAGTTCAAAGTGGCAAGCGATTCCGGGGCTCATAATCATTGTGTCAACACGCCGTCCCATTTGACTACCTGTGATTGAATGTTACCGTGAAGATCACAGCTCTTGGAAACACTTTGTTGCTCTGGACAAAACTAACTAGACATACTGCGGAACAGGAGAACACTGACCAACCACCTAAGTTTATGGAATTCGGGTCTATAAATAGCATTTTATTTCCCCCTCTATATTCAATTATATGAGTTCCGAATCGCAACAGGCCCTTCTAATTCGTTCGCCTCTGTCTGTTTTCAGATCGACAAGGATCCTGATATTCGCTGGGAGCCGATGCTTGTTCTCGGTGACGTAATGCCCGTCCGAGCAGCGTCTAGACACAATAAGTGGAAATTTCACCTACCGTATGAATATCAAGCTAGCTACTTCTTTTTGGGTGCGTCCAATGCATCTAGCTTTTACTGTCGGTTGTATTCCACCGTAAGGTAGAAGTTTCTTCTTACTACTAATTCACCAATTCTGACTACTTTATGTTAATCGCCTTCTGATGAGGTGGACTGACTTGGAGTTTTCTTTGACACCACTGACCATCGATATTACTTGCATACTAAGTTTCTACAGGAAAACGCAAATGGAGAGCTACTCCAAGAAAGTCGTCCGGTTCTGGGACGGAACCCAAAGTTGTTGCGTTTTCTCCTTAAAGCTGCAACTTCTTGAAAGCTTCCAGTAGAACTATAATGGCAGTGATTTCCTCGTCATCGTTGGCAATCAACCGTACAATTCATTTATCACAGCTTCCTCCCTGAAAACTGCAAATAGTACGCATTGGGGCTGACGGCACAAAAGAGTGGGAGCGGACACAGGTCGTTACACGTCCGTTTGCGCGGGAGTCGATGAAACTATTGAATCATGTATTAGGGGTAGCATCCCATGTACAGGAGCACTATTGGGCCAAAACAACTCAGGTTTGTAGACCTATAATTACTGTAGGCATTGCTCAGTTGTAACTAAGTGAATCCGTAATTGATGTATGCGTTATTTTTATCACCACGTGTATAACCCTTACGTCGCTGGCGCTTAACTGACCCGATACGCAGAATCGTAATGAGTTGGATGGCATTTTTGGGGGTTAGAGAGGCAGTCTCACAAGACCTTTATAGAAAGTGGTGTGGTCCTGGTTTACTCTGATAGGATCACGGAATATCGCTCTTGTTTGTTACCTATAATCTGTTTAGTGGTTTTCTAATAACTGAAGGTACATTTCAATAAAGGTGGTTGCCGATCCCTATCCAAGTTATTTACTATTTGGTTTAGACATTTAAGTTCGGTATTCCTAAACGGGTTTGCCAATACTAGTTTGCCAAATCACAAGTGAATTAGAGTGAGTCACTTTTTCTCGTGAGGGAGACTATATCGTGTGCACTAACCGAATTTTGGAGGTTGTGAAGTGACTAATGTGTACACGCAAGAGAAACGTGCGCTGAATATGAATGCTGGACACTTGTGGAGCCTCAGAACTTTATGTAAGCAGACAGCCTGGGCTGGTTCGAATGGTCAACCAGTCATTTCTTTTTGGAGCGTGCTCAGCTTCCGTGTTATAGGCTCTTTGGATCCGTGGATCAGCGTACCGCTTCCGTTTTCGTGTGAATTTCAATCTGAAACATTCTGTCGTTAGAAATATCACTTCAATAATGAGAATAAAGTTTTTTCATTGACTAAAGCTGAGAATGTGTCAACTAGGAATATATGTAGTGCTAATTTCCTGCTGTTCTTTTTCCCTTTTCTGCAGTTTGCCCACCTCTCCTACTTCCTGTCATCTTCCAATCCATGTCTTTACGACATATTTTTTTACGGAGATGTTATGAGGTCGGTAATAAGGAATTTCTATTTTTCTGGAGCTTTTTATCCTGGTGCTCGTAAAAGCCAGTCTACTGTTTAGAGTAGCAGGCCGTCAATTTTATCTGTATGACGAGTTTACCAGAAACTGATGTTTATGGAATTTTCGTGATACAACCAAAGTTCTACATGTTGAATCGGCACTTTTGTTATACTGTCTGTGTTTTTTTGGGCTGAAATAGGCATTTATGCATGAGCTCTACTCCGCTCTCTAAAAACCATGGAGCCATGTTTCACCATGCCATTGCAGCGTCCTCCGGGTCCCCGTGAATGGCCCAACTTTTTGGCTACTTATACTTTTTATGGTAGTGAAAAAAACCGACGACTGAGGGGGACTTACACGGAAAGCCACAACGGGAACCATCGCAACCGGTTATAGTCTGTCTCACAGTACTGTGGACAGATTCCTGAGGAATCTATGGGAAAACCAGCAGATGTATAGGTGGGAAACTACTTGGTTTTGGCGCCAAGCTTTCTTCATGCTGAGTAACTACGCTGAGGTAGCTGTTTGGTCGCCCAATTTTTTTCTGAGTAATGAAACATGGAAAAAACTGCCTAGATTAACACATCCATCAATTTCTGAATTCTTCACCAGTGTCGCTTTGATAACAAACACTCGGAAATTTTCAGATGAGGTCGCGTTCTTAAGCTCCTAGCCGAGACGACATGTGTAGTGGTGTGCATAACGTGGTCACTGAGTAGTTGATTTACTCCTCGGTTTCTAGATTATCTGGCCCAGCGATAAAGCTGCACGGACCAGAGCGCTGAGCATCTACTTAAATAAACATCATAGATGTAGAGATACTCTTGTGCTTCCCCATGTGCCTTAAATGTCAGTCAACTTATCAAGTTAGTCCGGAACCGGATCATTGCTCTACAGTTAGTTCACCGTGTTTACCCAAACTTCCAGACAATTATGTAGCTCCGCATTTGTTCCACCAGTGTCGCTTTGATAACAAACACTCGGAAATTTTCAGATGAGGTCGCGTTCTTAAGCTCCTAGCCGAGACGACATGTGTAGTGGTGTGCATAACGTGGTCACTGAGTAGTTGATTTACTCCTCGGTTTCTAGATTATCTGGCCCAGCGATAAAGCTGCACGGACCAGAGCGCTGAGCATCTACTTAAATAAACATCATAGATGTAGAGATACTCTTGTGCTTCCCCATGTGCCTTAAATGTCAGTCAACTTATCAAGTTAGTCCGGAACCGGATCATTGCTCTACAGTTAGTTCACCGTGTTTACCCAAACTTCCAGACAATTATGTAGCTCCTGCATTTGTTCCTGGCGTTTTCCAGTGGACTCAGTGGGCGTGAATTTGCACATATGGCACCTAACTGCACATACTTTATTATAGGTTGTTTTTTACGGACGCACGGCACCGTGTGGTTTTCCCTTTCTATTCCTCCGTGTGCACCTGCAAGTTGCATCTTAAGTTCACTGTTTGTGAGGAAACTGACTCAGCTCCAACCGAAAGCAGCCTAGCGGTTGGTGCCAAACTGGGCACATCACCTTCATTCACTCCATCAATCGTGCTTTCGGGTGTATCATAGTGGTTGTTTCACAACCCCTAACCCACCTCTACGCACCTACTACGCTACCAAATAACGCACTGATGATGTCACCTCGATTGCTGATGAAACGGTTGCAATCAAATTGCCCAGCCAATGACCACCATCTGCACTACCTGAGCTACTGACATTCTTCTCCATGGAATATCCAGAGAGTTCCGAACCCAAGAGTTCCCGATTAGTAGGTCGAAGACTTGACCGTCCGGCTACGAGCGGCCGATTAGCAGTGTGATTAACTGGTGCTTAGATGCGATGTTGCGCCACTCGTTCTCCGAACATTGGATCCACATCACGTATTAACACGCGTTTTCTGGCTCCTCGAATGGCGATTTCTCAGATCGAAGATTCACTATCCTCGTGAAATTATCCTCCTTTTGTGACACATACATGTTGGCAGTAGTATGAGTACATCTGATAGTTTGCAACTAATGTTTCGTCTTGTCAGTGCCGCTAATTTATGTGACGAATGCTGGTCGAGAATGTGAGTGCTTGTCTGAAATGAATCAGGCCCACAGTGTTAGGGTAGGACTAAATAATCTTTTTTACTGCCAGGCCTGCCCACAAGCAATGCAATACAGTCTTGTAGTCAAATTTTTTATTCACTTTTTTCAACGCTCAGCTCCAAACTAATTTCCTCAATCTACGCAAGTTTATGGTCATGAATTAATGCTTTTGGCTGATACTATATGACGTTGCTGGAAGACTTTCTATCTTAAGTCAGCCTGTATAGGGTGAAGTGGCAGTTGCGTTGCGACGTCTGCATTGTCTTGACCTGGCAGGACATCATCGTGAACACATTTAAACCGTTTGCATTTCTATGAGGAAGTGGGTTCACCACTCCAAAGCTCGGTTGGATTTTCGCCGCTGTGTTCCATTTTATTTCCCCGTTTTTTATTCGTTTCATACAGCAGTACATATTAGGGAATGTACCCACTTATACCTGCAGGCAAACATTCGTTTTTTCATATAGGTACTCAAAATCGTAACATAGTTTCACTTCTGCCTGCATCCTGCTTTGGATTCTCCGGACTCGTGAAAATATGCTCCAATGGAAGAGTAGAACGTCCATGTGGTACCCCTGAGTGCTTACACAGCTGTGCTCAGGGGATCCTTATGTAAAAACTGGAAATGGATGGTATCCATCCTTGTATACGTTTACTGCACGCTAATATAGAAGATAAGAAGTGGTTTACAACAATATGCTTACAGATTCCGCTAGTGGAAGCCTATTGCATGGCCGATTGACCACGGAGTCGATCAAGAAAAACCGCCAAGAGGATTGTAGATCTTCTTAATGGAAGTCTTCGTATATGGTAACGAGATAGCCGTGAAAAGTAATNACTTCCAGACATGGTAACGAGATAGCCGTGAAAAGTAATGTTGATCTTCAGCGCTTCGGTTGGGATCAATCAACCGCGACCTTCGCAGTAGTTAATGATCTACTTCAATATTGTCTCCTTCATCATCTTTGGCGGCAACGCTAACCATGTCGGAATCGATCAGTGGTGCCTCATTCATTCGTTCGATAAAACTGCTAACGCTTTTTCCATGCTGGACACAGCTGCCTCATTTTTTGGGAAGCAGTATGTCGTTCTTCATCCTGGACATGTCTGTCAGCTTGAAGGATTTTGAGTACTCTACGTAAAAACATCCGTAGATCTCAAAATTTTCGGCGGAAACTTTCTTAATCAAGCTCTTTTTAGGCTGATAGTTTCGTTCCGTTTCCCTCGTCACATAGCATGTTGTTCCTCACATCTAGTCGATGTAAACTTAGCCTTGTTAAGGACATCATTATTAGTGGGATTCATTTCCGAAAGCTTATTCTCTGTGTAGAGTCCGTTGAATGAATAGATTTTTGGGTTTTACAAGGAGAGCAAAATGTGGCATGGTTTAAATTTCTACGCTTTTGTCTAGACAAACGAAAACATGATATTTCGCATCTTTGTTTTAGGACTTCACCTGGGTGCTGGCCTTTTACATCAAGCTGTTTATCCTGTACTATCCACTTTTTGGATTTTGGGGTACAGTGGCCTATTTCTATGGTGTTCGGTAAGGAAAATTCAATCTTGATGTTGATTCTCTCATTTTCATAGTGTTCTGTGCCATCATTCTTGTTTCGGAGCCTGAGTCTATCACGAGTTACCCTCACAAATGCTTCGGTGGCCCTGATTTCCACTTCTTAAGCGCCGCCTTTTGTCTGCGAGAACTGAATTTGATTTTTACGTATTAATTATGCTACTGGTAAAAAAACGCAAATAACATTCCTGTGCTCAAATGGGCTGCACAAGTTTCTGGTTGCATTTGCTTCCACTTTCCAGGAGCTTTACTGCTCACGTACTGGTTGGGCAACTTCGCGTTTTCATCCCACACTCACCATGCCCAGCACTTTTGTCATACAATAAATGATGCAGACATAGCGTGACATTTATGTATATGGTTAATGTGCTCTGTGTTTGATCGTTTTACAGTGTCGTTGAAAGTCACTGGTTCGCATGGGTCACTCAGTCAAGTCACGTACCGATGGAGATTTCGTATGACCGGAATGAACCTTGGCTGCTCACGCAAATCAAGGCTACCTGCGATATGGAACATTCTGTTCTCAACGACTGGATCACAGGTCACGTGAACTTCCAAATAGAACATCAGTACGTTTATGGAAGGAAATTGTTTAGGTTTCCACTCAGCTAAGCAGATTGTAGCCCTTCATGCCCTTCTAAGAAGTCTTTAAAAAAACTCGAGCTGCGAGAATCCTTCGTTGATCGATGAATTTAGACTGGGTGATGGTTTTCAGCAGGCCTGCACAAATTTGTCCACAAGTTCACTACTTCGAGTTAACACACTGTGATGCATTCAGCTTCACACAAGCCGTTTTCATAACAACCATGCACCGGCATCCGACGGTCCAGTCAGCTCACCATTTGAAAGTGTAGGCCTGTTGTGCAAAAGCAACTCGCTGATCTGTACATTAAATTCGTATAAGATTATTCGATGACTCGTTTTATTCAGGCTGGAATAAAAGTGTAGTAAATTATAATGTTTTCAATGCGTCCCAATCAACTACTTTCCACACAGATAAGACAGTGACAGAAACGCAACGTTCTCGTAGGCATGAGCAGACTGAGTCGTCTTATTTGTGTGTCGGGCGTATATATTAGTCGATACAGTGGTCGGTTTGACAGATGTGCATTCATGAATGGTGACCGAAGGCCAATGGAACCTAGTTGTCTCTATGTCTTTCACTTGTCAATGCAGACTAGAGCCAAACAACTTCAGCAACGGCTACGGTTTGTCTGGTTCTAATCTGTAACCTGTGAACAATACTGAATCCAGTTTCATTATCCCCGACATCAAGTACGTGACAATACATTTCCTGGAGGTTGGCATTGCGGAGAATGCACGTTAGGCTTAGTTAGAAAGCTTCTCGTCATGTGATTCACAGAACACTGAAAAATTATGTGTAAGTTGTGGACGGAAACCTTCGGGTTCAACAAAAGCAGGCACGGACTGCAGGAATGGTGATATTGAACGTCTTATCCAATATCGTTCTGATGTGATGAGTCGCATGTCCGCCCGATGTATTTCCTGTGAATGGCAGGCTTAGTTGCAACGGGTTTTTGGGTTTGATTCATTCTGCAGGGACCTTTGGAAGATACGCTCTCTCTCTTTATATCGAGACTAACAAAGGTGGTAAGCGCAGAGGCCTAGTTGATGTAGAGGAAAGTGTGAAAAGGAACTGTGGAAGTGGAGCGAACTGTCATGTTCGTTAACAAGCAACCTGATTGCTTAGGCACCTAGGTACGAGTGGTCCTATTATCGCCTTCTCTACAAATATTCGGATAACACACCGTACGGAGGCCAGAATGCTTCTCCCAGAGCTAGCTACACAGGTATTTCACGACAAACTGCTTGTGCATTTTCGAACTGTTGTCTAACGTACCTTTTCTCACAGCCAAGAATCACGTGTCAAAGATGTCCGATTTTATGATACATATACCGTAAGATTTCTTATATTAGTTAGCTGATAGTGGTGACTGAATCTTTTATCGTTTCTTGTGAGCGATGTGTATCCTCATGGGTAGTAGCACTTGGTACTATGGCCGAACTGGCTCACAACTCACTGACATCACGTTGTGGTTTTTCAAAAACCCAAAAGCCACTTTCACCTGTTGATAGTGATTCCAATGATCTTACGATTCCCACTAAGCACGTTGCAAGACAAAGCGGCTGCGAATGCACAGCACCTTATACTAATTGGATGCAGCCTTTAAACAGAGGTCAACCAAATTCCAACCGTAATTGGCTTCATTATTAAGATGTTTTGGACGAGACATCTCTGACAACAGTGTGGTTCTCTATAGTGGGAATTTTATCTCGAAACAGTATTTGGTGTCCGTGGCTTATTTTCTGTCCACTTCTTCATCTCGTTACTATTGGTGGGCTCGGTAATAGACAAAATTTACATAGGTGCATATTTCTCAAGACTGTCCCGGACATGAACATATGGTAACCAGATGGCATCGATTGTGAAATGTCAGTCAAGCTTTCCACAATAAAATCCCGCTCC